GAAGGGAGGGAGGGAGGGAGGGAGAGAAGGAGGGAGAGATGGAGGGAGAGAAGGAAAGAGAGATGGAGGGAAGGAGCAAGGAAAGGAGGGAAGGAAGGGAGGGAGGGTGGAAGGAAGGAAGGGAGAGAGGAGGAAGGGAGGGAGGAAGGGAGGAAGGGAGGAAGGAAGGAAGGAAGGAAGGAGGGATTTTTTTGTAGAGACAGGGTCTTGCTACGTTGCCCAGGCTGATCTTAAACTATTGAACTCAAGCAATCCTCCCAAGTTGGCCTCTCAAAGTGCTGGGATTATGGGCATGAGCTGCCACTGCACCTAGTACCCATACTTATCCTTAAAAAAGCATTTGCTGTTTACCTGGAATGTGAATTTAATTGGACATCTCATATTTATCTGGCAACCCTAATCCAAGACCTCACAGGTAGCAGGGAAGCTGTGAGTGAAGAAGGTGGGTGGTGGGATGGGAAGGGGGCGCTAAGATCAATGCCTCTGCTCTGCAGGGTCCTACGGCTTCAGAAAGCATGGAACGAGCAGTCACCAGCTGATGGTGGGGGCAGTTCTCTCAGTGTCTCCCGACCCTCTGACTTCCACCATTCCCTGTGAACAGCTCCCCAGTGCACCACCAGAGTTCTAAGTACCCTGTCCTGAATGCCATGAGTCACCCCAAAGGGACAGCGAACCATCTCCAAGGATAAGCCTCAGCTCTTGGCTCCTCCTGCTTGCTGCTGCTCAGGGCTGGCACGTGCCTGAGACTGTTCATTTCCAAGGATCTACTGAGAGCTTCACACGCAGGGCAGTTAGGTCCAGGCAGAAGCTTTGAAGATAATAACCAGAAAAAATGGTCTGCTTCAGATCTTTGTATCCGGGAGGGGGTGGGAAGTGCAGGGGTAGGGGGTGTGGAAGAGCTGTGCTGATGTAGAAGTTGCCGTGGAGAGAAATGGACAAACCGAAGAGTGTGGGGTTTCTGTTCAGATGAAGAGCACCCTTCAAGTGCTTCCTGGCCTCATGGCTAGAGTGGGAAGGGCAGGGTGCAGGTGTCCGTCTCCCTGTGTGCCCTGACAGGGAGAAACAGAGGGTCCGTGTGCTGTTCTGAATGAAATTGGATCTGCACAAACCCCCCATGGTCTTCAACTCACAGCCAGAGAGGGTCAGGGACCACTTGGGATCACTTTGCTTATGGTTCCCGGGCTGTGTGACAGAGATTGGAACCCAAGGCCACCTCATGGGTACCTGGCCTTCGGGACAAAGGAAAACATCTGAAGCGGGAGAGATAAGAGAGGGAAGTACAGGGAGACCCACGTTGGGGTGCAGGCAACCAACTTGTGCAGGGGTGGGGGCGGGGAGAACTAGAGGTCTATCAAAGGGGTGTCCAGGCCTCCTGTTATCTGAATAGACCCCCAAAATGCTGCCCAAGTAGTACCGGATTGAATGTCTGATTCATGATCTAAACTCATTGAGTTCGGCAGTTTTTGTTGTTGTTGTTGTTTTTGCTTTTTTGAGACAGGGCCTCACTCTGTCACCCATGCTGGAGTGCAGTAGTGCAGTCATAGCTCACTGCAGCCACAACTCAATTGATCCTCCCACCTCAGCCTCCTGGGTACCTGGAACTACATGCCCACCATCACCCCTGGCTGATGCAGGTCCTCACTGTGGGTCCACAAGGGGTCTGTGAACACTTGCCACCGTAAGTAAAATTGTATGTATCCACTCTTTTTCTGGGGAAAGGGCTTCCATCAGATTCACAGGCGGGTCTGTGGCCCTCGGGGAGCTTAGAACCAGGAGTTGGTGAAGCGAGGGGGGCAGCTGGCTGAAGGTGGGCCTGGTGAGCCTGGGACTTGCAGGGTCAGCCAAAAATGAAAGGAGCAAAACATGTCTGAAAGCTGCCCCTGGGCCACACCCCAGCTCCCAACGAGCTCCCCATGCTGGCAGGGACCGGGCATAGAGAGCTCACCGCAGAGTGACGCCAAGTGAGGGAAGCCACAAGGCAACATCAGGGAGTGGGTCCCCAGCCCCTAGGTCCCCCAGCCATGCAGCCCAACATCCCTGCGACCTGGCAACACGAGGCAACTCACCAGGCAACTAAGTGTCGGGAGAAATCTGGATTCACTCATTCAGTCCTCCTAATAAGCCTACCGGGTAGGCACTATTTGAACCTTCACACCACAGCTGGGGAAAGCAAGCCTAGAGAAGTGAAGGAACCTGTCCGGAGTTAACACGGAGACAGCCGGTAACCAGTCCCAGGCAATGTGCCCGCGGCACCTAAAGTCGAAGCCGCGCTCTTCACAACCTCTCAGAGACATGAGTTCTGAGGTGCACCAATGACCAGAGATGGAGTTAGCAAATCCCTTTGTTCTTCCTCTATATAATCCACCACACTAAAATCAGCGACCTGATAAATCAGCAAGGCTTTTCAAAACGAACGCCAGTGAAACACATCATGGCAGGTAAAATGGGTTCATAAAGATGCTATGCTTGGCTCGTAAGTTAATTTCAAAGAACTATTCCAACCCCTTCCCAAACTGCATCTACAGGTTGGCAATGACCCACAGGAACAAGCCTGATCAAGCTCATGGCCACTGCTATGGCCAGCAGACAGCAGTAGCTGCTCCCGGCCTGTGTACACCCTTTCCACACATAGGGAATGAGTCCTCCCGGCAAGGGAGGTGCTGGTGGGGGAGCAGCATTCCTTTCTCCTGAGATTCTGCAATGAGGGAGGGGGTGGGGGGCCAGAACAGAAGAGGGGGAAGAAACGTTCTGATTTGGAAGTTTCCACTGGCTTTCAGGCCCCCTCCGGCTCATCAATGAGTCCTTTCAGGGTTCCCCTCCCCAACTGAGTTATCACTTCCTGTCCAGCACACTGCACCCATTGATGGGGTATCAGCAAACCCCACCAGCTTACGCCGGACCCAAGGAGTCTGGACATGCATTGAAGAGGGAAGAGGAAGAAGGCAGGAGAGTAAGGAGTGGCTTTCAATCCCATATTCAATGAGATATTCAATCCCATATCGTTGGATTAGAGAGGATTTGTCATACAGGACGCTGGCTCACCCTTGACTTGTCTCATAGGTAGGGCAATGAGGACAATGAGATAGAAGCAGGTATCAGGGGGCAAGCACAGGGCGCCCAAGATGACCTCTTCAAGATGACTGACAACCAAAGACCCACCAAGAAAGGAGTGGGCCCCGGCTGTGAGGGCAGAAGGGGGTGTCTCTCTGCATTTTTATTGGCCTAAACCAAGCTCACAGCCCTGAGGAGAAATCTGGAACATCTTGGCTTGGCCTAGAAGGGTTGCTGCTCATCTCATACTGATTGTCTCTTCTCTGGTGCTTGCCTGTGATCCACAGAGGCGAGCTCCCTAGCGGCCATGTCTGTGCTAAGAGGCCCTTGACGCCCGGCCATACTGATTGGTCCAGAGAGGGCACCTGACCCAAGCTGGACCAATCAGAACCTCCCTGGGATTTTTCAACGTGGAAGTGGGAAAGAGTCAATCTCTCCTCCGTTGGGAGCCAAAAGCTGTAAAATCCTAGAGCTGTTGACAGCCATGTTCCTCGGGGTGTGAGGTAACAGAAGCCCAGGGCGGCACCAGAGGGAAGCAGAGACAAGACAGGGGGAGAGAAGATCCTGGTTTCAGGTTGTAAGGTCTGACCACACCGTGGACTGCATGGCGAACCCCCTGAAACGCACGTACACCTCTGGAGGGCCTTCTGAAATTAGAAACGTGAAATGGCTGTAAGACCACGGAAAGAGGAAGAAATGATCAACCCCTGTGGCGGCTACTTAACTCTGAGACATTCTCGATTGCTTCTTATTCCAGCCCCAAATGACAAGGCCATTGGACTTTGTAACTGACCTTGGCCAACCTGGTGACGCCACATCCTACGACCCCCTCCCAGCTTGGCCAACTCGGTGACTCCACACCCTACAACGCCCTCCCAGCTTGCAAAAAAAAACCCTAAACTGTAACTTTCCACTGCCCACCCCAAACCTATAAAACCAACTCCCGTCCCACTGCCCTTCGCTGATTCCATTTTCGGCCTCAGCTCAACGGCACCCAGGTGAATAAACAGCCTTGCTGTCGCACAAAGCCTGTTTAGGGGTTCTCTTCATTCCGCGTGCGCGTTTTAACACAGGTATTCCTGTAGGCGTCTGCCTCACTGCCCTTCTCGCTATGTGGTTGGCTGCACAAGCTTCCCTGGTCCCTCCTCCAATCAAGTCTCCTTTGTGTCTAAGTCAGTGCCAGTGTAAAACTATCACTTGCAACCCAAAGAGGCCTAACTAAATTAGCTGGCACCAAGGGGGTGTCTACAGGGGTAGCTGTGGGACTCACGCCACACTACCATCCCCCTTGTGAACGTGCCTATGTGTCTTAGAGACACACACCCACCACGTACATGTACAAACTGGGTGGCAAGTGCCTCATTCGGTCAGACAGACACCGTGATATGTATGCCTAGTTTGTACCTGTAGTTCAAAAAATTGCTTATTTTCTGTCTCAGTCTTCCCTGTGTGTTTGCTTTTCTTTGCCTGCAATGATGTGGTGGCTTCTGTCTCACCCTGGATGTTTACAGACACGTGCCTACTCAGGTACCCAGCACCTTGCCATCCTCCCACCATCTCCCGCCATCCTCCCGCCATCCTCCCACCATCCTCCCGCCATCTCCCGCCATCTCCCGCCATCCTCCCGCCATCTCCCACTATCTCCCACCATCTCCCACTATCTCCCACCATCCTCCCGCCATCCTCCCACCATCCTCCTGCCTCTCCACCACTGTTTCCTACCCCGTAGGCAAGGGAGGGTGACAAAGCGTGATTGTTAAGACCATCAGAGGAGGCCAAGATTGAGACAAGCCCAGCTCTACCTTCGAGTCTCCCTCTTCTATCCCTCTGCTCCCACCTGGACTCTGACCCTGATAGGTCTGTTGGGGGCTTCCTGGATAAGCGAGGGTAAGAGAGAGGCCAGCCCACCAGAGAGACTCGGGCCACTGTCAGAGCTCCAACCAACTCACCTGCAGGTCAAAGAACTTGCTGTACCTCCGGTAGATGGTCTGGGAGGTGGAGTCAGACCAGGTCACATTGATGATGTATACCTGTGGGAAAAAGGTAACAGCAGGTGAACAAGGCTGGGTTTCAGGCTGTGCCAGGCATCATGTAACATGACTGCAGGTGTTCCATATGGCCAGGACCACTCTTTTCTCACTCATTTGTCCCTCGGGCCTAGCACAGCATCAGCTACCATGTGGATGCTACAGTATATGTCTAAACACACACACACATATACATACACACACACACACACACACACACACACACACACACCCTAGAGGGATATTTCATCAAATGCCAACAATGATTATCTTAGGAAGGTAGGATCAGAGCAAGTGGTTTTAATTTCCTTCTTTTTATTTGTATATTTTTTATACAATAAACATAAAATTTAGGTCATTACATTTTTGTTTGTATGTTTTTGAGACAGAGTCTCATTCTGTCGCCCAGGCTGGAGTGCAGCGGCATGATCTCGGCTCACCACAACCTCCAGCTTCCCGGTTCAAGTGATTCTCCTGCCTCAGCCTCCCAAGTAGCTGGGATTACAGATGCCTGCCACCATGCCCGACTAGTTCTTGTATTTTTAGTAGAGACAGGGTTTCACCATGCTGGCCAGGCTGGTCTCAAACTCCTAACCTCAAGTGATCCACCTGCCTCAGCCTCCCAAAGTGCTGGGATTACAGGCATGAGCCACAGCACCTGACCTTTTTAGATGGCTAATTTTCACTGGTTTGCAAACTTTAGAGTAAATGAGATTCTACGAGAGGCCTTCCAAAATTGCAGGTGGACCCCACTCTCTGAAATTCTGCAGACCTGGGTTTTGAGGGCCTGGACATTTACACTTTTAACAAATCCCGGGTTATTTTACTGCAGTGGATCCTCAGAACTGACTCTGAAAAGCCCTTTGGGCGACCAGAAGCACTCAGAGATGTGTGGCTCATCTCAGCATCCCTGTCTTTGCTCAGTGCCTGGCACAGAGCAGGTGCTCAGAAAACACTTTGCTATGTTGAACAAACACACTGGTCTTCTGGATGAGAAACGGATTTGAAGAAGAGGTATTAGCATGTGGGAGATTGGAAAACTTTTCTCTTGGGAGCCTCACAATGAAGTCATTTTGGGGCCAGGCTGTCACCCCGGTTCCCAAGTCTCCATCAGGCTCTTCAGGAGCTCATGCCACTCTGGAAGGCTGAACTGGGTCAGGAATCCCTGGAGAAGGGGGGAAAGCCACCCCCCCGACCCCTGCCCTGGGCAGAAGTAAGGCAGAGGCCACACACACGAGGCCTCTGCCTTACTTCCGCCCTCAGGAGAGCGGCAGTGGCTGGGGGTCCTCAATAGTGGTTCCCAGGCCAGGGTGCCCTTTAGGATCAGCTGGAGGTAGGGGCAGCTTCCTAAAAATGCAGATTCCTGTGCCTCAGCCTAGTCACTATCTCCAGTAGGTCCACGGGGTTGGGGCTGGGGGACTCTACCAGTAAGAACAAAATAGCCAGTGAGGCCAGGGATCTGGGCCATGATGAGAAGGAACGTCAGCAAGGAGAAGTGGCATTGAGACACCTTGCCATCAGACTGGCCGACTTCCCAGATGCCTGGAACAGGGTTTGCAGCCAGCACAGTGAGGCTTTATGCTTGGCTGCTCAGGTAACACACAAGAAAATGAGCTGAATCCAGTCTCTTCTCCCTGCCTAGCTCTATGACACAGAGGCAGCCTCGGGCCATAGGGAATTTTTTCTGAAACGTATCCAAGGAGAGGGCCATAAAGCCAAAGCAAACAGGCCTGAGTGCTGCCACTCAGAGATGGGGCATTTATGACATGACCCTGAGACAGCAGGCCACAGGTGAAAGGCCACCCCATCTTCATCAGCTCAAAACAGACTGTTGGCTGCTCTTAGAATAAATGGGGGTACGCTTTGCTATATGTCATCTATAAATAGATATCACATGATACATCGTAAAACCATTTTGTAACTTAATGTTACCTAATGTTTAGGCAACTAAATGTTACTAGATGCCACATCTATGGGGCAGAGGTCATCCAAGAAAGATGGCCGTACAGCATAAAGCATCTATATGCATTAGCTTATTTAATCTTCAGCCCCATGAGGTAGCTACCATTGTTATTCCCATATTGTACAAGAAGAAGGTGAGGCTCAGAGAAGCTAAGTAACTTGCCTGAGGTTACACAGCTAATAAGTTACAGAGCAAAAGACTTGAACCTAGGTCTAGCTGAGTTCTAATACATATGCTCTTAACCTCACTAGACTATTTCCCTGTGTGTAAATTTATCTAAATGGAACTACTTTGATCAGGACTGAATGGCATTATAAACCAAAAAGTATCTGGAACAATCTTCAATCAATTTAGAAAGTGTATTTTGCCAAGGTGAAGGGCACACCTGTGATACAGCTTCAGGAGGTCCTGAGGATATGTGCCCAAGGGGGCCGGGGTACAGCCTGCTTTATATGTTTTAGGGAAATACAATTCATCAATAAATACATATAAAATGTATATTCTTCCATCTGGAAGGGTGAGACAACTCAAAGTGGGGGACGAGGGGCTTCCAGGTCGTAGGTGGATTTAAACATACTCTGATTGGTAATAGGTGAAAGAGTTACTATCACTAGAAAGGAGTGTCTGGGTTAAGATAAGGGTTTGTGGAGACCAAGGTTTTATCATGCAGGTGAAGCTTCCAGGCAGCAGGCTTTAGAGAGAACAGATTGTGTTTCTTATCAGACCTAAGGTCTGCATTGATATTGATGCTGGAGAGTACAATGAAGCATGTCTGATCCCCACAAAAACCTGTCATCATGGCCCCAATCAGTCTTTCGGGTTCAATTTTAGGCGGCCCCGGGCCGAGGAGGGAGTGCATTTAAATGGTTGCAGGGGGCCTTCAAATTTTATTTTTGGTTGATACTATCTTTTTAAGTAAAGCAGAGCCCTTGCTGAGGGAGGGCACCCAGAGGAGCATTCGGGAGCAAAGGTGACTCCAAGAGCCTGAGACCTAGAAGACACAGAACTGGGGGCCCAGACACAAGCAAACGATTAGGAATGCTACAAAATCAAACCGATGCCGAGGACCCCCTCAAACTCAATGCTGTGGGATTTTCCTGGGGTTATAACCTACCCCATCCCCACTCCCACATGGATCTCCCCTTCCTACAGGTCTCGGGGCAGGAGCAGAGGCTGACCCCGCAGTTCTGGTCTCCCTGACCTCTGCCCCAGCAGCTAAATGTGAGGAGGCCGAAAGTGGCCTATCTGACCCTGGAGAGGGGGCTGCACTCGCCTGCAGGACATTAGATATCAGCCTTTCTCCAGAACCAACCAAGCAGAGCCGAGGGGAAGGGCTTAATTGAGGCTTAACACACATCCCCCATCCTACTAGCAATTAGGCTTTCCTTTACCTCCCAGAGAGAATGAATCACAGGCTCACAGCCCCTGGCAGCTGGGAGGGTCCAGGGAGGCCTCTCCTTTAGCAGAGGAGAAACCCAGGGGCCAGCGTAGTGATTTGCCAAGGATGGTGCATAGCCAGGTAGGAAGCAGCAGACTCTGGAGTCAGCCACACGTGGGTGCAGCACCCTCCCATCACCCTTCTTAGCGGCTGCAAGACCCCAGCCCAGCCACTCAGGCCTTCAGACCCTTCCTCTATACAAAGGACACAACCTTCAGGGCTGCCAGGACTGATGCAAACACAGTTCTCGCCGGAGTGTGCTGACACCCATTGGTGACAAAGCTGGTACAGAAACCCAGATGTCCCACTTCCCAGCCTAGCCTGGGACTACTCCACATGTGACCAGGGCATGGCCCCCTCGGAAAAGTCCTTTGCCCTCTACTCCTCAGAAATGTTGAAAATTAGCAGGGCACGGTACTCCGGAAGGCTGAGGCAAGAGGATTGCTTGAGCCCAAGAGTTTGAGACCAGCCTGGACAACATAGTGAGACTCTGTCTCTATTTTAAAAATAAAAGTTGAAAATTCACAGGAAGTCATCTCTGCTTAACCCTTGGCCTAAACCCACATTAAAGGTATACCCTGCTGGAGAACCAGCCAGAGGGAAGAGCTGACAGAGAGCTGTTCCTGTGGCCCTTGTCAGCCGCGGCCACCCGGCGAGGATATAGCCATGCTGCCCCCCAAAAGCAGTTCTTTCCTTGTTTGGCAAAGGATTGTTCCTGCTAATATCTTGCACCCCACTTTCTATGCCCTGAGCAGCCATGAATGTGACTCATGTGAAGGGTAGGGAAGCGAGCCCCCATTCCCAGGTTCTCCCAAACTTCGGGAATTAACCAGAGGCCCCCAGCCTACCCCCCTGGACAGAGCCTAAATCTTGGGTTGAAGAAATGGCAAGAGACCTCCCTGGAGATAAGCCCAGAGATATGAGGACAATCTCCAGACCCCTCTCTCTCTCATCTGCTTTCTTCCAAACCTCGGACATCTGAGATGATCACTCCAGACGGGTGATGGACACACAGAATCCCACCCCAGCCTATGCCTAGCTCCTTACCCCAACACCAGAGCTTCTTAAGTCTCCCTGGGCTGGCTTTGCCAGCACTGGAAACTTCAGAGAGAAACTGCAGAGAAAAAACAGGTGACAGGGAAGGGGGAGAGGTCATCCAAGAAAGCTAGCTCAGTTTACAAGCCTATGTCAGGGGCCCATACAGACTCTCCTCCAGCCTCAGGAGCAGTCAAGATAACATTACCGGCAGCTGCGTCTCAAGAAAGGTTTGGCAATTAAACATCATGCTTCCAAACCCTTTACTTGGGGTTATGTTTCATGGGTGGAGTTTCTCTTCTTTCTGGATTTTAAAAACCCAAGGATTCTATTTCCCCTGTCTCCAGCCATTTCAGACAGATGGTAGGCATTTATGAAGGCTGGCTAGAGACTAACAACTGCTTCCAGCTCCCCACTAGGTCAGCCCAGACTGAGGAGATGCAGGGGCTCAGGCCCTCCCACCATGCTCACCCTTGATGGAGGAGTGGAATCATCACCACGGACACCGCGTGGGAACTCTCGCTGCACACCCGGCGCGACGCTCTAGCCCAGCCAGCCCCACCCATC